GCCATTCTGTGTGGTAGAGATGAATGATCCATCTAGGCCTGTGATTCTTACTCAGGACTTTGAGAATGCCAGCAGAACTGATCCCCTGATTGTGCCCTGCTGTGCACAGCCTATTCAAACTGCCTTTTTAGTTGAGTTTCATCTAGATCGATTCTGTCCTCGAGGATACATGTATAGGATGTGCATGATGAAGGGTCAGCCATTTACATCAGGTTAATCCAGCTTTCTTTCCTCTGCACAGTAGGCTGTGTTAGGGTAGACTCACCCTTATGCTGTATAGTGTTCTTTAACCAAAATATTCTATTCTGAAATACATTTAGAAAATACTGAGTTCAAAGTCTTCTTTCAATTTCAGTAAATCTCACTATTTAAGGAAATATATAATATTGTTCCCTTTTTGAAAATATTTAACTAGCATATACCAAAAATATGGGGGATTTCATTGTGGAATTCCATACATTATACTTTGAACAAGGTCATTCCTTTCACTGTATTTCCATTCCCTTGTCGCTCCTCCCCCTTTTCTTTTTCTTTTTCTTTTCTTTTATTTCTGTTATATTATTGTTGTACTGGGATACAATTGGCATTTACAAAGGTGCTTACAATGTATCTTAGTTAAATTCATCCCCTCCATCATTCTCCTTTATCTACTTCCCCACCCCAAGTTCAAGGTCTTAAGTAAAATTTCCCATTGAAAGGAACCAGCACTCACTCAAGAAATGGCTGATTTTAAGGCTGCGTCAGAGGGAGTAAAAGTTGAGCACATTTGTGCTTGATAATGAAGTGCTAAAAAATTAAAAAGGGAAAAAAAAAGACAATGATGAGAACAGAGGAATTCTTGTGAAGGGTCTCCTGCTGGGCACATCTCGGATACTTTGAGCATTAAAATAAATAATGTTAATAACAGATATAATAATGAATTGAATAAAATGTAAACTAAAGTAAAATGAGCCCATGCCAATATGAATAGATCATTGACTACTTTGTGGAAAAGGGAAGTTATTCCTTATCTGACAATACCATTAGTGAATATAGAATAAGCAGTAGAATTATAAAATCATAAATAAAGATTAAAACCAGCAGAGCACCAGTGACCCACGCCTATAATCCTTGCTACTCAGGAGGCAGAGATCAGAAGGATCATGGTTCAAAGCCAGCCTGGGCAAATAGTTCTCAAAAAAAACCCATCACAAAAAAGGACTGGTGGAGTGGCTTAAGGTGAAGGCTCTGAGTTCAAACCCTAGTACTGCAAAAAAAAAAAAAAGATTAAAACTAGGGTATGAAAGTTAGATGAAGAACAAGATATGAATGTAATCTGAAAGTATTTCTTATAAAGTATCTTTTAATTTCAAAAGGGAGATTAATAAGTTTATAGTGAAGAAAGCTGTCAAATATCATTGTACCCACGTAAGCAAGATAAATGCCACCAATATTGGTGTAAACTCTAACCATGTTACCATGCACCGAATAAACCTATCATTGCTATGGTGACCTGCACAAAATGTACCTGAATTTCACCATGAGAAACCTGTGACAGTGCTCAGTTTTACACATAATTGCTATCTGCACTTCATTTTATCAGAATCAAGAAAGAAAAGACTGCAAAGCTGTACTAAATGAAAGTAGGGGGTTGGGAGGGGACAGTGCAAAAAGACATGACCACTCATTTGATCCTAAATTGGATCCTGGACCCAGAACCAAAAAATGATCTGTACTGGACTTCATTTGGAGCCTTAGCAAATTGGTAAATGGACTGAGAGCTGGGCAGTAATATTGCATCAATGTGAAATTTGCTTATTTTTATAGTAATACTATGATTATGTAAGGGAATATCTTTATACTTTGAAATTATGCACTTGAAAGGGTGAAGGAGGATAAATGTAGTAGAAATATTTTGTGCTCATATATGAAAATGGGAAAATGAGACCTGTTGAAGCTATTTCAGGAAAGTAGGAGGAGGGGGAATAAAGGAAAATGATGGAGGGGTGAATTCTACTGTGATACATAGTAAGAACTGAACCCCGGTACAATAATAATTGATAAAGAACAAAATAAAGAAATTATACACTTAAGTAGTCCATGGTAAAGGGACATATATCTCTAACTTACTCCCAAAATCATTGAGAAGGGGGAGTGGAAGAAGAAGGGAGAATGAGGGTGGGGGCTGAATGGAACAATTTATAAATAATTACGATACCCGCGTGTGATGGTTGATTCTCGCCATCAAGTTTATTGGATTGAGAAGCGTTTAGGAGATTAGTAAAACACACTTCTAGCTGTGTCTGTGAAGGCATTTCCAGAGAGGGTTAAGTAATGCAGGAAGATCTGCCCTGGTGTGGGCAGCACCACCCTATAGGCAGGAGACCCTGATAAAGTAAGAGCAGGAGGAAGCCAGCTAGCACGGGCATTTCTCTCTCTCTTTGTTTCCTGTCCACCACAAGGTCAAAGGCTCTGCTCTGCCAACCCTCACCACCATGATAGGTAGAAAACCTCTGAAAAATCTCAGAACTCTATCTTTCCTCCTTGTCAGTTGTTTTTCTCAGGTATTTGTCACAACAACAAAAGTCTAAACCTGGGTAAAGAATTTATGAACAGTGATTCGATATTTTTATTGCTGGATTTCCAGATCTTTCCTTCAGCTTATTTGTACCATGTTTCTTTGGTGGGGAGTTTGTACATAATAAGCATCACTTTAATCCACGTGATTACAAAGAACGCGCTTCCAGGATTGCTGAAGAGTGGCCTCTGGTTATGGCTTCTGAGAGTAAATTCCAAAGGTGGATGGTTCCTCACGATGCTATCTAGCCACACTAATATCCTGCCAAAATATCTTTGCAAAATAGTTTCTCCGCTTTTTCTCATCTTCAAAAACAAGAACAGAAATGCTAGAGTGCAATTCACTCAGCAAAACTACATCTCCCTATTTATTGTCATAGTTTTAGATAGCTTCAAGATGTTAACATATTTCAATAGACTACAACTGGAGAGAAATAGCAGGGAAAATTGGTATTTCCAACGTGTCATCCTGTTCTTGCTATGAGAAGTTTTATTATCCATGTGGGTGGAGCCTGGACTCAAGCACAGTTTCTCAAAATGCATTTCCTTACCTAGTTTTAAATGAAAATGCCCTTGAAGAAGTCTTAAAGTATTTTGTATCACACAATTTTTGGGTGATGCATGAAACACCCTTTTCATAGGCTGAAGTATAAGAAAGCCTCTGCAAACGTACTTAATGTGAGGGCTTCAGTTTTAAAAGGAAAGTGAAGTGTAATTTTCTGAATATACTTGTGTAGAGTTTCTTTCTTGGGTTAGTAGAATTGTACCCAAAGCAATTCACCCAGTGAATTTTAATCTGTACCTCATAGAATGGATTCTCAGTGTAAATTCATGATATCCAAGCTGTCGAATCCTAAAGGTAGCACATTTATAAGAAACTGCCAGAATCCACGGGAATTGCAGTCTTAAGAAAAGGAATTTGCTTTCAAAAAGAAAATCCTCCAAAACTATCCATCTGCCCTCCTCCCATCCCTGCCAGTCCCTAATTTCCCTGAAAAGTGACCTTATTGGGGCTACGTGATTTCACCCTTCTGAAGCAAAATGGCCAACATTGTTCTTGGTTGGTTCATTGAGTCATGAGGACTCTGTTTACCTTTGACCTATACTTTACCTAGTCATTGTGACTTAGCTTTGCCTGCTGGGAATTTATTGTTCACTGTCAAATCCCCAGAACTCCCATCTGGGATGTGTTCTTTCAGTGTATTAAAAAAATAATCATATCATGTTAAATTTGGAAAAGTAAGGAAACAGAAGTTAGGAAAGAGAATTCATAATATAGGAGGTCTGATTTCGGTTAGGTGTAGGGTCATCCTGGAAGATACAGTGGAATCGCATTCTTCTAGAAACATGGTGGTAGTGTGTGCCGACCTGGCATGGTCTAAGCCTAGCACCATATACTGGATTAATGTGCTTGATCCTCACAACCACCCTACCCAGAGGAAATACTTGGCTTTATACACAAGGAAGCTGAGCCTTATTAAGTAGCTTATCTGTGACCCCTCAGGCAAGTAGGCATGGTGGCTGATATAGGAACCAGAATCTCTTGTTTTCTCACAGTGAGACCACATAGGTGGTCTCTTGGGTATGGTCTGTGGTCGATTTTTGTTCTCTGAATTTTAAATATCAAGGTATGTTAATCATTCAAACTGTACACTGGCTTTAAGTTGATTTGTCTACATTTTGCTTTATGAGTAAGCAAGTCTAGCCACACGTGAAAGGAGGCATTTAAGGTAGGGATGGGATCACCTGGAGCTTAGATACCACGTGGTGTTCGGTCTTAGGCAATTTGATGTCCAGTTTCTGACATACTATATCCTCACCTCTAGCTGAGTATTGAACTTCTGTTCTGACTTCACAGAGCTTTTAAAAAGTATTAAGTGAAATAATATACGTGATGGCTTTTTGCACTTTGTCAAATGTATAGTATTATTGTGACTATTACCATTATTTGTCTTTGTGAGTTTACTGACATAAATTGTCTCTTGAACTGTTTCTGCAAGCTACTGAGATATGCTTGCAAGTTCTCATGATTCATCTGCATATCATACATAAAAACTCACCCACTGTGTGTTTATAGTTTTAACACACAGATGGAAAGTCACAGGATTAGTTTTCTACTTCAAGGTGTTTAACTCCATTAAATACATTTTGCTTCTTATTGGGGAGATTTCACCATGAGCTGGGTAGTGGGTAATGAGAAGGCAATATTGTTATTTATTTCTGGAGACATGGCTGCATTGGAGTCTTGTGAATGATGGCATGTTTTCTGAAGTAAACATGAGCAAAATGACATGTTATCTGGGCTCTGTTCTCAGGAAGAATCTGGATACATGAATAAATGTGTGGGGCACAGTCTTACTAAGTGGGGGATATGGGTCCATTGCAGAATTCTCTAATTTGTATAGGTTTGCAAAATAATAAAGTTTTTAATTGTTGTTTTACAGATGCAGATTTTCTTTTACAACCCAGATGATTTTGACAGCTTTCAAACTGCCATTTCTGAGAACAGAGTAATTGGAGCCATGGCCATATTTTTTCAAGTAAGTTAGCGGTGGTTAAAATACTTCAACCGGAGAGTTTTCTGAGTATTTTTTTAATTTGTGGGATTGTTCCATGTTTAATGAATGCATCTGTTTTCTAGTTCACACCTGTCTAAATGAAAGATATTTCATATTGTCGAATGTGTGATTTAAAATGTAAATAAGTATGTTTAGAAACATAATGAAAAATTTTGCATGAATTATTCTGATTTTATTGGTACTTGACTGGTGCACAGATTGAAGAAACACATTTATCATCGAAGTTACTTTGCTGCTGAAGCATTTTGAACAGGTTCCTTCAGCATATTAAGAGGCTGATGCAAGGGAAAAAAAGGTGGATTCCTTTCAAGCATCTTTAAAATTTGACATCACTGGCAACTCAATTAATAAATAGCATTTAGTCACTTCTCTGAAGAGACCCTTCTTCTTTCCCTCCCCCAAATCCCCGTGGTGACTAAAGTTTTTGTTGCGACTCCAAGTTAGTACATTCATGAACTCTGATCCTTTCTTTCTCTTTTAATGTGCTTCTGTTAATTTATTGCTCAGAGCTCATGTGTCTGTTTTGCATAGAGAAGCCAAAAACCTTGCATCCTGCCACAGATAATGCTCTCCAGACTTTTTAGTAAGTCAAATCAAATTAAACTAATGTCCGTCAGAGAGTGCCTTTCCCAAGTTGCCTATAGGAGAAATGGCGCTTTTCATATGGAAGGTAACCTGAGCAGAAGGCCTGCAATTTGTCTTTCTGTTCTAACATTTGCCTATAAACACTCCACACAGATGCCCCTTCTATCTGTGAGTCAGATATCTTCCTGACAACTCCAAGGAATTTAAAAGATATTATAATCGTCTCTAACATAGGTCTTTGACATCTGCCTTTTTGAGCCAGCTTCTTTTCATTGAGATGGAGCCATTTTGGTTTGGAGGATATTAATTTTACTGTCCTTTCTGGTGGGTAATATATGATTGACAAGTCTCTCCATTGCCCCTTTCTCTCCCTTGCCCCTTTCTCTCCTGCTCAACTATCTCTTTCTTCATTTTCTTTTCTTAGATAAAAACAGTGGGAGATTATACATGAAAATTTGAAAAACCTAATATTCTACTTACTGTCAGAAATCCTTGCTTATGGCACCAGTTTTCAAAACACTGGGTTCTGGTCTACTAGTGGGCCATGAAGTTATTTCAGTGAGCCCTAAGCCAGTAGTTTTAAAATAATGAAATTGAATAACATAAAATTGGAAAATATCAACATGTATCACACATAGGAATGATAGAGCATTTTTATTTGTTTATACACAGTAATGCATTCTGGACTTGTACTGGCTCATGATATAAAATATATTATTTATTATGGGTCAAGATCA